CAGGATATAGCTCACACGTGGCAGAGTATGAGCTTAGCACACACGAGGTCCTGGGTTCAATCCCCTGTACCACCACTGTTTTAAAAAAAAGGATATATAAAATAATTTCACGTTTTAATTTTTAAAAAAAATTTGGGGGAGGTAATTAGGCTTTTATTTGTTTTTGATGGAGGTACCAGGGACTGCACCTAGGACCACTGCACACGCTAGGCACACACTCTACCACTGAGCTACACCCTCCCCCCAGCAGATAAAGTCAATCTTTACGCGTACTTATGAGGGACAGGAGCAGTCTTGTTTCAGAGGGAGGGGTGGCTTTCAGAGGGGGGCCGGTGGCCTGTGTCTCGCAGCCAGTGTCTTGAACACCACACCCAGTGTCACTCCAGGCTGAAGGCACATGGATCCGATCTACTGGGGGGTGTGCGGTGTGGGTGGGGCAAAACCAGGCAGGACACTATCATACACACACACACCTATCTTGCTTGAGCTTTCAGAGAGAGTTGACCTGGACCTGGGAAATATCATCTGGCCTTTTGATTCCTTGTACTGAATCACGTTGGTTGTACACATGTGGTGGGGGTGCGGGCGGGGGTGGGGTAGTTCATAGAGGGTTTTGCGGGTCATGGTCATGACTCTGGGAGCCATGGGAGTCCTGAGTGAAGGGTGACATGATGCGATTGCTGTCCTGACAGGCTCTCCCAGTGCCCTGTGAGAACAGACTGTAGGGTGGGGGTGGGGGGAGGGCAGAAGCAGGGAGGAGCCCTGTCGGGGGAGGGGGAGGGAGTGGGGATGGGGGTGCTGCTGTAACAATCCAGGTGAGAGATGGCCAAGGCTGGAGGTGTTTAAGTCAGTGCTAACAGCATGTGCTGAGGGGCCCACCTGCAGCATGAGACCGTATGATGTGATCTGACTGAGTGAGCCCTTCTCTTCCTTCAGGCTGGAGGCTGAAGGTTCCACACAGGGGAGGGTCCTTCTGGCCTGTCCTTTCCACAGCTGCTCACTGTCCCTTGCCGGCTGCCACCTGAACCAGATGGGTCACTTCTAACAGCTCTCCTAAGGGTGACAGTGAGTTCCTGCGAAGTCACCCATCCCCAACGGAATGACAGCATTTCATCAGGACTGACTCTCAGAGCCAGGGTGAGTCCCAACTTTGAAGAGAAAAAAAAAGGGCTGTTTTGTTAGAGTGGAACGACCTCAAGCAGACCATGTGTGAAAAGGCCAATGAACCCAGTTTCTAGGGATCAGCCTTCAACGGGGTGACAGGAACAAGCCTGTGGTAATCTCCAGAGGGAACTGGGCTGCCGTCCCACGGAGCTGCTGCTCCGGGAACCACTGACCCGTCCTCTAAGGGGGGAGCTGGGTGAACAGTCATGTGGGTGTGGAAATGAAGGGACAGCACGCGAAGGGGCGTCGGAGAGGAACACGTCTGTGTAGGGCAGTCATATGTAGGGCAATGCGTATTGCAATATATACAGTGACGAGATACATACAAAGGGGACTTTATATGTAAGGTCAGGCTAGCAAAAATTTTAGTAGGCTGAAACAGATGGGGTAAAAGACATGTGTTGCTGAGAGGTCCAGAGCTCCGTTCTCGCTGGGCAAAGCATGTTAGTGTTTATGGAGCATCTAGCTTTCTCAGCGTGGCTGCTGATGGTTACAATGTTACACATCTATCCAGAATAGTTTCATAAAGGGGTTGATGCAGCCATCAACAGTTATAGCACATTCACGGTAAAATAGCAACCTTTTCGGATGCAGTTTTTAAAACCAGTTTAAGAAGATGAAAGCTAAATCATCCCTGTTATCATTTAGGTTTAAGGAAATTGCCATATATACATCTCCTAAGAGCAGTTGGTACGTCTTTCAGATATAAGATGACTAAATTCTTAGTAAGAAACAAAGGATTGATTGAAAGAAACAATACACTTCAACAGCAGGGGGCGCCATGCACCCAGTCTGCAGACCGCGCTCCGGATGCTCGCTTCTGCCCACTCCATCTACCTGCAGAACGTTAATTCTTTACTTACCTGGCTTGAAGACTATTTAGAAAATTCCAGCCTTAGCTTATGTTTCGCCTTAACTTTTTTTTTGACTGTTAACAGTCAAACTGGAACTTGCTGGAGGCTGGGGGCAGGGGTGGGGGCATGGGGAGTTATTGTTTCATGGGTGTAGAGTTTCAGTTTTGCAAGATGAGTTCTGTGGATGGGCGGTGGTGTTGGGAGTGCCATACTGTGAATGCACTGAACTGTACACTTAAAAATGGTTAAGGGGTTGAGCTACATGGGCGGTGTATTTTACCCCAATTTTTTAAAAATTAAAAAAAAAATTAGAACCTGCTTAGAATGACACATTATGCTCGTTCATTTGTTAATTGTTCTAAGAATGCACGTGTGGATTTGTACTGTCACTCCTTTAGGAGGGGGATCTTAGAGATCTGGGGACCAGTCTTAATTGTGTTCATCTTCCCCCCCAAAAAACAATCAACCTCTCAAATCCACAACGTAGGGTGACTTAAAAGCAAATGCTGGACTGTTGGAGTTTGGGAGAGAAGTGTGAAGGGAGGGTGGAGGTTCAGTGGGAAGGAACTAACTGTCATCAATTACTTATTATACACCAAGGGCTTTCCATAGGGCATTTCATGTAATCCCTATTACAGTCCCAGGATAGTGGCATTTTTTGGTTCCTCTACCAAGGACAGTGGGGCCTAGAGGGGCTGTGTGGCTTTCCGCAGGTCATCCCACTGCTAAAGGGTGGGTGGGGCCAGGATTTCAACGCCGGCCTTGGGGGACTCAGAAGCCTTGCTCCCCTCATGTTCTCAGGATGTCTAAAGGCGCCCAAATGGCCCAGTGGTACATGGTGCATGGACACTGTAGGGGTGCCAAGTGAAGAAGTGCCTTTTTAGAAAGTTTTAAGTTCAGCTTATTTACCTTTGGTCCTTTCTGCCCTCCCCCCTCCCCGTGCACAAGAGAGCCTTGTCTTCTCCTGGATAATGTGAACAATGAGAAGGCAGTCTCGGGGCGCGGGGGTGGGGCAGCCCAACAGAAACAAAGCCTCAAACAGGCCGTCCTTGTTGGAGACACAGGGCCAGCATGGTACCACGGCCGGAATAAGGCCGGTAGTGTCCGCGGCCCTGATGGCCAAGGGACAGCAGTTCAGCCACAGGAAGGTGAGACTGGGTCACTGTTATGAACTGAGCACAGGGTGGACGGGCTGAGGTCCTGGGGGATGGCCGCATTTGCTATTCATCAGCCGTGGTTTTGCAGCCTTCCAGCCCGCAGGGGAAGGACTCAGGCTTGAGTGCTTCACGGAGATGCAGCTCTGACCAGTGGGACGCAACTAAGGAAAAGGGATTCCTGATGTGCTTGTCGGATGCTGACGTACGTCGGATGCTGACACGCTATGTCACGAAGCAGCAACAGCGGAGAGTTAATATGCCCACCAGAGCACCAGGACGGTCCGTTATCTATGGAAACAGAACTAGGGGAGCTCACTCTGATCGGCCCTTACATGATAAAAAAAGTCCTCTAATTGTGGGAAACTGAGGCTGCGACAGGCAGGGCTGGATGAAACTCCTGGCCTGCAGCCTGGAGGCAGGGCGTTTTCCTGTGTTTTCTGCCGGCAGCGCCTTCGCCAAGCTGCCCAGACCTCTCGGGGAGCAGGTGGCCGGGGAGCAGGTGGCCGGAGCTGGGCCTGGTGGGATTAGGGGCGCTATAAATACTGCCGCTGTCAGTGACCTTGCTGCCTTTCAAAGGTGGTGGCCGCTCTGAGGGAGGGGACAAGGCAGAGCAGAGTTCCTGAGTGTATCTGTGGGATTTGTGCCTCCTGAGGACTTACCTAGTATGAACAGCAGAAGAAATATTTTACGATTAGCGGAACTTCCCTGAAAGGGATTATCTCCGCGTGTCATAGAGGAAGGACTGATGGTGCACATGTTTCTGACTGCTTTCTTCTCTGATGCTGGCCTTTTTGGTTTCTTTCCCTCCAGGAGGATCTCTTGGAGGCCCTGAAATTCTGAAGCTTTAGGACTAAAATGTTTTAAATACCAAACATCTTCACCTTAAATACTGCTGTGGTCCCCACCCCCTGATGGCAAGGTGCGACAGGCATCCAGCTGTGGGTCTCTAAAGACCACACACACAGTCACCTGCTCCACTCTCCGGCAGCCTCCACCCCAACCCCTCCCCGAAGACACTCATCCCAGGAAGCTGGGGACCCAGACGAAGGACAGCCTCACCGGATGGAATCGTGACCGTCGAGGAGGAGATGGCCACTCACGTGGCAGAGACTGACCACGTCCTTGTTGCGTTCACAACAACCAGGGAAATTTAAAAAAAACAACCAATAAAAGAAAACAGATTTCAAAGTTTGTGGGGGTACGATCTAATAACACCAGGGATGCTGCAAGGAGGCTGGAAAGCTCTCAAAAGAGAAACTCCCAGCCACTCCACTCCACCCCAACCAGAAAGGAGAACAGAAGGCACCTGAAGGTGTCGCAGTGGTCCCCCAAGCTGCTCTCGGGGGAGGGAACGTGCCAGGTGGGGAGGGGCTACCTGTCACCTCCCTGCCTTCGTTTGCCTGCTCACAGGCTGTCTCTTCCTGAGTCCCAGGGAGGTAAGCCCAGATGAGGTCTAAGAACGACTACCTTCAAGGGCTCGCCATCTCGTGGATGATTAAGGTCAGGAAGGAGAGAGTCAGACACGCTGACCTTGTACAAGAGATCAAGAGAAAGGGCTTCCAAGAAATATGCTCAAGGGCAAAAGAGAAAAAGGAAAGAACCACCAGGGGCTGAGGGTACACCCCAAGCCCCTCCTTTGAGTCTGCCTTTTCCACGAAGGAGCATCATCTTAATACTCGGCCAGGTGGGCAAACACGGTTAAGAGGGATTCGAAGATTAGAACTGATGAGAGGGAGCAAAGAGTTTTGTCTGTGCAAGGCTCGGATCACGCACATCACCTGCAGCGAAAACACTTGTAGACCGAACTGAAAAAGCAGAGACCTGGGAAGACGCCAGGAGCCTCGGGGTTGGCAAATCCCCTGCAGACAGATTCTAGAAGGGGCCGGACCCTGACTGTCAGGAGAATGTGGCCATGTGGGTCTGTCTGGCTCTTGTGTTTCACCTCATAACAGGACCACGTGGTTAACTGAAAAAGCCCACCACGTAGCCACAGGCTGCATTAATGAACGTTATGAAGTCAAAACTGGACAATTCTAGTCCGATGGCCAGGATCAGACCTGATTTGGAGTTTGTGCCCCATGTTCCCAGGGAGCACTGACAAATTTCAAGGAGCGGAACCAAAACACCACAGGGTCTGGAAGCCAGGCTGTTTAAAAGGTGGAAAACTGGGTGTGGCTATTTGAAGGGCAGCCACGTGGAAGCAGGGTTAGACGGACTCTGCAGCAGGAGCATGGATGGGGGCGACCGCCTGCCCCATCATTTGTCTAAGGGACGTTACAGTCCATCTCAACAGCCTCTTCCCCGGGTCCTAGGTAGTCGTGTCTTAATGATTTCTGTAGTTTTCATTCTACAGTGACCTACTGATTCCTGAAACACTAGTTATTAGTTTGGATTATAATAACATGCTTTATACCTGTATTCATTCAAAAAGCAATTACTGGGCACCTGAACAGAGCCAGACACTGTGCGGATGCTGGGCGTGCAATGGGGAACACGGCAGAGGCGATGCCAGCCCTCTCAGAGCCCCTGTCACTACAGAGCGCTAAATGTCATGATGGGGGACTCAAGGCATGATGAGACCCGCAGGGCCCGCAGTGGGTGGGAAGCAAACTGATGACGTCCAAGTTGGTGTCTGAAAGCAAGCTGGAGTCACGTATGCCGGACGAGGGGGCAGGAGAGGGTTTCAGGCAGAAGGGACACTGGGGGCAGAGGCCTGGGCGAGAGAACACACAGATGGTCCCTCCGCTCCGGGTGCTCTGTGTGGATGGAATGGAGAGCAGGAGGAGGGTTGAGATGGTCCTCGTACTGCCGTTTAGGGTCTGGGTTTACAATGGCACCGGAGAGTCAGTGGAGGGCCTCTGGGGACTGGTTTGGAGGAGAAGTGTGTGGAGCCCCACTGGGGGCCATGGAGCAAGTCGAAGGGGAGCTGTAGGAGCACAAAGAGGGATATGACGGCGGGGAATGGAGAAGAGGGGGGTCCGAGGGGCATTTAGGATGAGGCTAAGACAGGGCTCTGTGCCTGGTGGGGGGACACCAGGCTGAGGAAGAGGGCCGAGCTGAGGATGAGGCCAGCCTCTGGCATCACCAGCAGAAGTCCACGCTAGTCATCAAAATAGGGGGGAGAGCAGAAAGAGCTTGGAGTGCAGGCCATGAGCCCCTTTGGGATGGGCTGAGCTGTCTGTGCCTGCAGGAAATCAAAGCGCATCTCTGTGAGGGAGGCAGTTAGATGTCAGGGCCTGAAGCTCAGGAGAGAGAGCAGAGTCGAAGATACTGACTCGGGAAGGAGTTAACACGGCAACTGAAGCCACGACCTGCAGAGAGAGGGCCGAGGAGGGAGACGGGCAGGGGGTTCGGACAGAGTTCTGATGCTCACTTGGAGCGAGGAAGAAGGATGTTCCACCAAGAGCCTGTGAAGGAATACTCAGAAAGGAAGACGGAAAAGCAGTGTTGCAGAAGCCACGGGAAATAAGCAAAGGATGCAGGCGATGGGAGGTGAGAACCAGATGGCACCCGCCCACGGGAGCTGGGGCCGGAGCCCGCGGGGACCTCGGCCAGCTCTCTAAGGAGACAACAGGGAACCAGACGGAATGCAGATCCAAGGAACCACCTAGGGAGTGAGGCCCCTCGGCCCTGAGGGAGGGGGCAGGTGGGCTGGAGGGGGACAGCAGATAGCATGGGTCGGGAGCATAGATGGTGGCAAACAGCCGTGGGAAGGATGGGCGTGATTACCTGTAATCCTCTCAAGGAGGCTGGGTGCCAAGGCGAGAAATGGAGGGGACCTGCTGGATAAAGACATGATTTTTCTGTTTTCCTTCTATTTCTTTTTAAAGTTGGGAGCCTTGAGTATATTTAAACATAGATAGGAAGGAGTGATTTGGGAGAGGCTGACACGGGAGAGAGGGAGAAACTGAGACAGAGTCCCTGAGCATAAAGCATGGATAAAGCAGGGCAGCTGAGCCCCCACCGCGGTGCCACTCAGATGCGGGCGGTGGGGGGTGCGGTGTCCACCCTGCCACGGCTTTGTGGGGATAGGGGGCGCTGGCCTGCAGGTCATCCTGCCAACTGTCAGTGTGCCCCTCAGTCCAAAACAGCATCTCCCTCACTCTCTTTCCTTTTACTTTATCTTCCTCCCAAGGAGCTCTGACTACCTGTAGAAGATGCCACAATGGCCAGCTGAGGGGCCATGCTCACCCTGGTGCCCAGAACAAGGATTTATTACTTTATATAGTAACAGAGGAGATTAAATGAAGGACGGTGGGCTAAGATGATCTGGGAATGTCTCGGTAGACCCTAAATACCATCACAGGGGTCCTGATAAGAGAAGAGAGAGGCATGCAGAGGAGGAGGCCCTGTGAAGACAGACTGGGGTGATTCGGCCAAGGAAGGCCCGCAGCCACCAGGAGCTGGACAAGGCAAGGAACAGACTCTTTCCTAAAGCCCCGCCAACACCTTGATTTCAGTCCAGTGAACTGGTTTCGACTTCTGGCCTCTGGAACTAGGAGAGAACACATTTCTGTTGTTTCAAGCCATCAGGTTTGTGGTGCTTTGTTACGGGAGCCACAGGAAACCAACACGCTGTCCAAAACCATCGTGTTCGTCGGTGGCCTGTCTTCCCCATGAGATCACAGACTCCTGAAGAAAAGGGGTTTTGTGTGTTTGTTTCACTGGGGTTGCCCTGGAGCCTGCTGCGTGGCAGGGGCTCAGAAGGTACAAAAAGACCCCCGGAATAATCTCATGGCACAGTGTAATCGTGTTTCCTTCACTGTGCCTGAACCAGTGGGCGCTCCCACCCAGAGCTGGAGATGCAATAAAACCCTTCACAATAAAACTAAGAACACTTGCAGCAAAGGCCATGTGTCAGTTTAGCTAAAAGCGACCTTGCCTTCCTGTTCACTTTCTTAGTCTGCCTGCAGGTGCAGGAGACCCCTAAGCGCTGGGAGAGAGAGAGAGCAGGTGTTAAATTCTTCACTTACTGTTTCCATTAGACATTTCTATTCTTGTATTTCCAGCTTCTCCAGGTGGGAATCTGAGTGTAGGGTTTGCCTAGAAATACTGTTTCTGCAGGTCAGCACTGTCCCCAGATTTATGTGCTTAATTATGTCTTTGCTGATGGGTTTTGGGGGGGAGGTGAGGATGGTGGGTTGTTGGCTTCATAGCATCCAATAGAAGTATCAGTGTTCAATTTATGTTATTTTACTTTTTTTGCAAATATCTCTATGTGACCAGACTGATACTTGACTGTTTCCTCCCGTTTCTGGATCCAATGGTCTCTGGCTTCACAGCTATTTTATGTCCTCCCGTACTCATTTCAATACATCTATCTGGTATTTCTTGAGATAATTTACAAAAAAAAAATAAAAGTTTTGAGATGTTTTCCACGGGCTTTGCTGACTCCCTACACGTCGTAGCAAAGGGCATCAAAGTTTCAGGCCACCAGGTAGGTGTTCATATTCAGAGACAAAAACACCCGGGGTTAAGAGCAGGTGCTGAAATTAGGAAACTGAGCAGCCGTGAACACCACAGCCTTGTTCTGTCCTCGTGTCGCGTCGTGATTATTGTCGGGAGAGTCTGGACCACGCATCTGATCAGGATGACGTCTGGGTCCTACGCACTGAGACCCACCCACTGACCGGATAAGAAGGAAAATGCTCCCCAGACTGCATCTGTCTTAGAATAAAAATGATTTTTAAAGCCACAGAGAGTCATACAATGTAATTCCTGGAAGTCTATGCGTTCACCCCCACCAGGTTAGTTTGCCATAATGTGGAACAATCCCTCTGATAAATTTGCTTTTACACCAGAAAAGCCTTGGGGTGGAGCCTGGGAACCACATCCTGGATGTGAGACTGGGGTCCAGCAGGCAGCACGCGGCGGGACTTGAGCAGCGTCGGGGAAGAGCATGGTGCCTTCCCCCTGGTTCCCAAACCCTTTCAGGTTGCTGCCCTGCACCTGCTCTTTGTAGAACACAGGTGTGTATTGATAGGTTAAGCTGAAACTAAGTAACATCTACAATTTTGTGCCAAATCAGACATCATTTAAAATGCTCAGGTGGGAAGCAGTGGAAGGGATCAAGGTTTTGAGACAATTTGGGGTGATAAACACAACTGGATACAATACTAGCAACTTAACTTGTCTCTTGAAATTGGGAACTTGTTTCGGTGTTCGGGATGGTGGGTCCTGCAAGGGCCTGGTTGAGACGCACGGGATTGTTCAATTAATGGAAAACAGAATAAAACCAAAAGCAAAGCAACCTAAATCGAACACTGGTCCTTCTGATGGAGGCTATGATCCCCACAAACCCTGCTCCCCCCCCAAAAAAATCAGCCAGGACGTAATTAAGCACATAAATTTGGGAATAGTGCTGACCTGCGGGAACAGTATTTCTAAGCAAATCCTACACTCAGATTCTCACCTGGAGAAGCTGGAAATACAAGAATAGAGATGTCTTATGGAAGCAGAAAGTGGAGAATTTCAAGAGAAAATACATCAGTTGACGAGTTAGGCCTGGTCAGTCAATCCACGTGGCCCTAAATGACACGCAGCTTCCCTGCTTTTAGAAACATCAGTGGTGAGTCCGCTGGGGGCTGCCGGACAAAGCAGCACGATCCGGGCAGCTGGAAACAAGGTCTCACAGTCCTGGAGGCCAAAGTCAAGGTGTGGGCAGGGCCACGCTCCCTCTGAAGGCGTCGGGCAGGGTCTGCCCCCGGCCTCCTGGCTTCTGGCAGCAGCCGTCCAACCTCCGCACAGTGCTCTCCCCGTGTGTGTCCTGTCCACACCCCTTCCTCCCAGAACGCCAGTCAGACTGGATGAGGGGTCCACCTTACTCACTGACCAGGACCCCATCTGAACCCTCTTTCCACACAGGGCTACATTCTGAGTCACTGGGGGTTAAGACCTCAATACAGGAATCCGGGGGACACAATTCACCCCATGACAATCAGAACAGAAGATTCAGGGTTGAGCACAGAGTCACGCTTTCCCTTTTTACCACCCACTGATGTTACAAAGCAAGGCTCAGGCAGATCCAGAGTAAAAATCTATTTTAACTCTTTTTAAAAAAGAACCAGATCCTTACGCAGTAACAGCCACTGGCCTCAGATACCCTTGGTGCCCTCCTCTCTCTGCCTTAGGTGACAGCAAGCCTTCCTCCCCGCATCCCCGCTGCCACACACGGGCCACCACAACCACCACCACCACCACCAGGCAGCCTCCATTCGCTGAAGCTGAGGGAGGCCAGGGATGCAACGAGGTGGCCAGTGGATCGCAGCCTGGAGGCACTGGCCCAGCCCCACGACCCCAGCATGACCGGAACCTGGGGTCGGGAAGCCCCTCTGGAGCAGCCTGCCTTCCTGAAACAGCCCAGTCCGTGGGACAGTCCATCCAGCCAGTCGACAGTTTGTCACACTTTCTGAGTTCTTAAAAACCTGTCTCTTTTAAACTCTTCGAAAGTTGACACAATTTGTACTGGAAGGATTGGCGGGGCCCCGGGGAGCTGGGCAGGCCCTAGAAGCCTCTGGGGCCTTCCACCGTCCCTGGATGGCTGTTGCACCCGCCCGTCACTCTGCTCCATCTCCTCTGACCCTCCCCACCACCCCCCCTTTTTTTTTCTGGCAGGTAGTCTCTCCCCTTTTCCTTCTGCCCTGCACTGTCCATCCATCTCTCTGACCTGTCTCTCCCCTTTCCCTGCTCCTTGCTCTTCCCCTCCTGCCTCTCTGGGCTCAGCCTCCAGGGGCTGCTGGGTACAGCTGTGTAGGCTGCTCACTGCACAAAAGTGCCTCGCCTGCTCTGCCTGCCAACATCCATTTGGACGGATGCCCATTTCCATTTTGTAAAAAGGGGGCTGGGGGACGCCTTGGCAGCAGCCAAGCCTGTGCTTTGTAAGAATTCTTTTCCGCCTCTCTTGCAGTAGAGGGGCCCCCTCTCTTGGCAATGGCTCCCCCCAAACTAGAGCAGCAGGGAGCTTAAGAAAACACCAAATGTTTGAAAAAGTGCCATTGTAAAGTCAAAATGGAAGCTGGTCAACTGAAATCATCTAAAGCTGCTAAAACTTCCCCATTTAATATGATTTGCTATGAACATTAGAAAAAAATTAAAAGAAAAAAAACACATTTGGAGTAAGTTGGCAAGTTTGGTTAAGTTTAGCAAGCGAATCTGTTGGCTTCACCAAAATGGTCTAACATCCAGGAATATGGAGGTTCTTACCATTTGGAGATGCTTCTCTGCACCAAAAGGACTGTTGAAAAGGCACATCCTACCCTAGCTAGTGGTTTTTATTTTATCCCCAAATCTGGAAGCTGGGAGGGAATCACGAGTCTCAAGTGGTTTACGAGAAGCTGGCTTCTGTAAGTTTCAGGTATCGTTCCTTTCCCCAAGAGGGAGGGACACTGTTCCTGCTTCCTTATCACAAGCTCACTGCCACCGCCCTGCACGGTGACTACCACGGTTGTCTACTAGAGAAGCAGCCTTTTAGGACATACTAACTATCTCTGGGCTTTTTAATCAGCCACGTAAGAATGGGAGACCATGGCTCTACTGGAAGGTTTAGGACAAAACTGGCTGCTTGCTTCTGACCCCAGCGCCAGCGACAGCCTTCTTCCTTGTGGTCCTGCCTTTGCCTGCCTGGCTCTGATCGCTGCTCTGTGACGTTTCCTCCTCCGTGTGGCCACCGCGTCACAGACTTCCCCATGCAGCACGCCATCTGAAGCTGTTCTTCCAAACCCAGTTAAACTGTATATATTTTGTTTTGGGTTTTTTGTTTTTTGTTTTTTTTTTTGGTGGGGGAGGGAGGTAATTAGGTTTATTTATTTATTTATTTGTTTTTTAATTTTTTTTTTTTAATTGAAGGTACTGGGGGTTGAACCCAGGAGGACCTCGTGTGTGCTTAGCACACACTCTACCACTGAGCTCTACCCTCCCCACCGTATGTATTTTGGAACTGTGTGTCCCTTCTCTCCGAACAGCAGCCAGCGTGCCAGTCTGCGACCACCTTGCTAACCCTGGTTTGCGTCGTGTCTGCTCCTTTGTGGCTGCTGAGGGGATTAGTTTTTATCGGATGGTTCTCCCATTTTGAAGCTAATCTTTTGGATTGACTAAGGCTCCCCCTTTCCTCACCCTCACTCCCGTCAGATGGTCTAAAGCAATGAACCAGCACTTCACCGAGCATTCCCAAAGGCAGCTCTGAAGGAGGGAAGGCAGAATGCTGCCAGGACAAGAAGTCTGCTCCTCTACTCCACACGCCTCCTGAATCCACATCCTCTTCCAATTGGGCTGAAGGCATTTGCTGCTTTTCTTGAAGCCCAGTGGTTCCAACAAACTCCTGGATAAGAATATGAAGGAGGAACCGACGTTTGGGGTAGGATGGAGACTAAATTTAAATTGAGAATCTATACTGGGGAATAAACACATCGGTGCATTGTAGCATGCTGAGATACTAGTCCCTATTAACCATCAAAAGTGTTTTTCACAGGCAAAGGCGGACGCTGGATCCGAACGTCAGGGCCTGAAGAGGGAGCCCATTCTGATGGTCGGAGGAGTTTTTGCTGTGGCCAGTACACGCTCCCTTTGGCAAGCAGTTAGCATCACCGGGTGACTGAGCGTCCGTAGGATCCGTGGGGCCAGCTTTTCTCAAAGTCCCAGGGAGACAAGTCAGTGGGTCCGAAGGAGCTGGGGAAGGCGCTCTAACCCTAGGCAACGCACAGAAAGCTGGGGGACCATCAGACTGCTCGGGCTTTGAATGGAATATCACCCACTGGACTAAACGCGAAGGGTGCCGACCTTGAGGGCTCTGCCACATTCATTTCCTGAAGCTAAGAAGTTGCAAAATTAAAAAAAAACAACACGAAAATAGACTGGGGACTAACGGGCCTCTGAACAGCTTTAAAAATAGGAAAACCTGAGTATAAATCAGGAGACGGTTGCTCACGAGGGGCGGGTGCCCTCGGCACCTTTCTGATCCTTGTCTCACAGTTAATAATATATTAATTGATTCATGTGTTTGCGTTCTGTTTATTGTGCATGTTCTGTGCCAGGCAGGATGCTGGGCCCTGGAGATAAAAGGTGACGAAGCCAATGACCCTGCCTTGGGAAGCTGAGAGCCCATGAGGAGTAACAGATGTGAAGAAGGAGTATGATCAGTGCTAGAAAAAAGCATGTACACATTACAGCAGCAACCTAACGCCCTTCCATTTTTTTTCTATGTGTCTTTTAATGGCAATTCCTCTAGCCAAGATGTTGGACCAGCTGACTGAATCATTAAAAGGATAACGTGAGGGAGACACACCATAAGCTGCAGACTCACATACTACTGTTTTTAGTGTTGAAGAAACCACCGCTTCAAGCATGACAGCAGGTGCCCTAGTCCGGAGCCTCAGGACATAATATCTGCTCCTGCCAACGGAAACAGCACAGTACGGAGGAAAGGGCCCTGGAGAATGAGGCTGGAGGGCTGGCTTCTAGCCGGTGCCACTACAGACAGACCGCAGCGGGGCTGCAGGTTCCATTCCAGACCACCTCAGTAGAGCGATTATCTCCATCAAGTGAGTCATATGTATTCTTGGTTTCCCAGTGCATATAAAACTTACGTTTACACTATCCTATAGTTAATTAAGTGTGCAATAATAGCATTATGTCTAAAGAATCAATATACAGCCCTTCATTTAAAAACACTTCATTGCTTAAAAAATACCAACTATCATTTGACAACTTAGGGTTGCCACAAACCTTCCATTGGTATATTAAAAAAAAAGCATTATTTGCAAAGTTCAGTAAAGTGAGGTACAGCTGTCCCGGGTACTGGGGCAAGTCACTTATCCTCTCAGAGTCGTTTCCTTTACTAAAAAATTATGGGTTTGATCAGTTCATCTTCAAGATCTTTTCCAACAAAGGATTCTGAGTCTCTATTTCTATGGTGACAAAGCTACCCTGAGATACTTCTAGTTACAGAAGGTAGGGTTGGAATAATTTAATAAATAAGACCCTTACATGGGAAATCAAAGCACTTTCCTAGATCTTACATAGTTATCATTTCAAAATAAACTTCTTGCTCTCGCTTTAGAAGTGCAGATTATTGCCTGTGAACTGAAGGAGGGAAGAGATATCCTTAAAGCCAACCTGGTAAAGTTCTCCATCGGACTCAGCTGTGGGAGGATGTTGAAATGGAGGAGACAGAGGAGGCCGGACCAACCAAAATCTTCTAGCTCTCTATGCGGGATGACATCCAAGTTACAGAACCTGGCACCCCAACCAACTCAACTTTCGACTTCCAGTCACTTCACAAGCATCCAAAAGCTGAGATCTGTTCCTGGAATAGAAACCTTCTCTGTTTTTCCTAAAATGTTCTTGCAAACAGTTTCATGGTTGTGCAGTGTTTTGCTAATATTTTAGGGAACGATGGAAAAACTTGCACACCAGAGGGAGAAATAATGCAACCAGGAGAGCAGGGTTGCCTGGGGTAACCTGTCCTGAGTCAGGCAGGCACGCTATCAGATTCCTCCACGGCGAGGCGGCCTGGCAGATGCTTCTGATACCCCCTCCCCTCCCAGTTTCATGAAGGGTGGACCAGCAGAAAGGGCTGGGTTGGGGTGATGGACGGGGTGGCTGAGGACGCAAGGTCACTACTCGGTGTCAGAGGAGTCAGACGATGGGCTGTTTGTCTGTGTTGCCCTTGAGACAATCTATTCAGGTGCTGGATCAATGGACCAAATCACAGGTTTAAAATGTGTGTAGGGCTTGATCTTAGGGACCAACATTGGGGCTCGTCTAGCTAAGTGGTTCTTGTGAAAATGATCAGAAGGATGGCGGTCCCTGTGTTCCTGTCGTCAGCATAACACAGCCCTCCTTGTTGCCCTGTGTCCTCATCCTCAGCCGTTTATGAAGGGAACCGCACACACCCCGGCATTCTCGTACCAGACTTCTGGGTGTCCTATAAATGGAGGATTTCCACAGGGCTTAGGGCACGTGTAGCCACCACAGCAAACAAGGAACTGAATTGAAAAGACCGCTATTTCTTTTTACCCTCTTCTCAGCTCCATCTTTAGAACCCAAAGGGCACAGTCTGCAATGTCGGGTTGTTAATAAAGATACTAATTTTTGTTACTGTTGATAAATGTTATAAACAACCTTAAGTTATATTATCATGTGCTTTGGCTTATAGAGCATGTAGGAATTTCTTCCACGTTTTTTGAACATTGGCTTCTATATTTGAATTACCCAGGGCAGTTGATAAAGGATGTTTGCTGTTTATCTAAGGCTGTGCAGAGTCACCGACAGGCCCTGCCAGCAATGAGGTATTATCCACACTTGTCACACCTGTGTTCTCGAAGATGGCACAGGGATCTAGGAGGTGCTGACTGGTGGGTAACTAGGTAGGGCACATCAGCGTAAATGGATGAGGAAATGAGCTTTCACAGGGAAACAAATGACACCAGTTAAATTTGGAAAAGGGACTGAGATGGCGATACAGTTGCCACTGGATGTTTAAGACAGAGTATCATTAAAACAAAAGGCAGAGCCTGCCATCTTCGGCATGTAAGCCGTCCTTAGAAATGCCGGAATTTGACCCTCTATTCTCAGATGCAAGGACCTCCTTGAATAACAATCATTCACATTTTGGGATGAAAATATGTTGAAGAGGTTGTTAAGTGACCTAGCACAGCGTCACATTATGGAATACAAGACTGCTCCCTTTAAAGCGGCAGTCCTGCCCTTTCCAAAAGCAAAACAGAGGCGGGGGCGGGACTTCCCTTACCGTCAGCGACAAGGCCATGCAGACGAACGTGAACCTCTTGATGTGGGCCGCCGTGACCGTGTTGCTCGTGCTCGCCGCTTTGTTGCTGGGGTTATTCTAGGGGGAAGGAAAAGGCTCCGGGTTAGCCGGGCTGCCCACACATGCCTCTTAAAGAGCATCTCGTTTCTGTTTTGCTTCACTTGTCTGAAGCATAGAGGTCGCGTGACAGCTGGGAAGACGGCTGTCACTTCGAGTCTCTCTCAGGCAGGCTTCTCTCTGGTTTCTGGATGTGAACATTTAAACCAGAGGGAATTCTGGACTGAACACCTACCCGGCAGTGTCTCCTGAATCAGCCCCTCTCCTTGGCAACCGGTGCCCCCGGGCTAGTGCATGGCCCGGTCCTTCCTGCAGTGCCCCCTGCCCCGGAGCCCTTCGCAGGCAGGGGTGCATCTGGCCCGTATTCGGGGACAGGTGTGAGGCCCCCGTGAGGTGTGTGTTTGCGCTCTGAGATAAAGGACTGGGCGCCTCACCCATCTCTTTAGCTCCTGCAACTTAGCACAGTCTTTCTGGAGTAGAGAAGATGCTCAAAAAGCCTTTGTTAAGTTGACATTTAAGCAAAAATTGCAGATCGCCCAGAGGTCCCCTGACACATCCCCAAGGCTCACCAGGGCCACCCCAGCATCAGGGCTCTGCGTGCCCATCGCCTAATCAAAACGAGCGGCTGGCCCTCGACTGTGAACCGCAGCAGAGAGAACACATCGCCTGCCTCGTCATGGATCCAGTCAGTCCCAGAGCTGGCTCACCGCACCCAGCCCTGAGCACCTGGCCCCCAAGTCCAGCCTAGCGAGGGGCTCACGAGCACAGGGGGTACAGGTTCCCTCTGCAGAAGCTTCTGCTGTTTCCTTCCCCTGGAGGCCGAGGCGATCTCTTGAGTCCCCTCCCGTTGCAGATGCTACCAGCCCACACCTCTGGAGGGGCTTACATTTTCCTAACTCCCACCTTTAAAGCACACCTGCTTTTCCGAATATTAGCCAGCTCTCCTAGCAAAGTGCAAATCACAGTGGGGAAGACGTCCCTCTGTCCCCCTCCTCCCAGGGATCTGTGTGCGTGGTGCCCTGGTGGGATGGGGAGAGGGAGGCTACATGGAAAGAGCTAGGAAACTCCAAGTGCTGCAGTGACAGCCATGTGCGCCAGCTCCGCCAGGTGCACTTTTATTTTCAAAACAGCAAACATTTCTGCTAGCGTGTCTCATGGGATTCGCATCTGTGCTCTGCTGTGTTTGCCCAGTCTGCTCTTTAGCAGGTGATAACTGAAGACGGGAGAGGACTGGTGCTAGTGGAGAACCTTCCCTGCTCACTCTTTAGCTGGAAGCGTCAGAAGTTATGCGAGAAATTTTGAATCTCTCATTCTGGAACCCACAAAGAGGCCAAGGACTTCACTTGCCAATGCAGCAAATTCTGGAAGTCCACACAGAGGTGTCTAAGACGGGGGTGAATAGACAGCACTCATGGAAATGGCTTGGAGTAGCCCAGCGGAATGAATGCCAACAGTGGGGGAGGAGGTTTCACAAGGCTTCTGGGTAACTCCAGTATCTCTGGCTAGAGGTATTCTCGGTAAAGGAAGTTCACGGCACCTAACCTCTGAGATCATGAATAAAGCGTTGTTTTTCTTGGATGCTTTGAAACTGGAGTGCTGTATTGTTAAATTTTTTTATCTCCAGGTAGCCAAAAATAATTTCAGGTGAGACATTCACAGCCAGGAGGGTTCTAACACCTGAGTAACTGCTATTGACTTTTATTAATCATCTTATCCTCCAAGAGCTAAATGTTTAGCAAGAAGACTTATATCCGCCTTGGTTTTCAAGGATTTACTTCTACACACATGTTCCTTGACATAAGAACATTGCTTTCTATCAGTAGATTGGATTAAACCCACTCAAACACGAACCATCAGCTCTCTCTCCTGCAAGTGGCTCGTGCCCTGTGAAGCCCATTCTCAAAGGCCTGGGAAGGAGGAATCAAAGGAGCTTCTTAGGAGATGCTCTGCTCGTAATGTTGTGAAGGTTCACAGTCAGTGGTGGGTCCAGCCCATGGTTAACTGGGGAAGCTCCACACCCGGCAGAGAGTTCTGGGCAACACCCCACCCTCCTTCACGTCAGGCTGCAGGCGGGGGGCAATCCCTGAAGCACCTGGGGGTGAGCTGCTATTCATGGGTGATTGGATAGAGGCAGGTCATCTGCTGGGGACCCCTGGCAAAAGGCTTCCTCGCCTCCCCTCCCAGGGCTCTTGTTGGGATAAGAGAAAATGCTATCGGTAGTGGCTCTGAGCTACTTCTATAGAAATTCAAGGCCAAACAGCTACTATTAAGAGTGTAAGTGGCGGGCTGTTTGCTTTCTTCCTATTTTTTCATTTTAAAACATCAGGCTCTACCTTTGGGGGAGCAGTCTGTTTTGCTAGCCCATTTGTTTTCGGATAAATGTCTCCAGGTTCAAATAATTAAGCTTTAATGGAGTAGGCGTTTCTCGAATGATCTGCAGGTCAATCCTGACCCGGCCTCACGCTACCAGTCCGAAGGGCTACACGTCCCCCTGGGCTGAGGCAGCAGCTGCAGGCGGCTGTCAGTAGGGGCTTTCAGCCTGAGTGAGTCCACTGCCCCCCAGCCAGCCTGGACCCCCAGCTGCCACATGGACCACTCGGGCGTGCATGTACCCCAGTGCCCCGAAAGAGATGGGCATGCTTATGAACTCGAGCACACAGCTTCCTCTCTGTACCTTCACGTCTGCTGTGAAGTCAATAAAGTGTTGGTGTCACTAAAAAAAATCCACTGAAATGAAGTCCAATACATTGAAACGTTTTGAGAGTGTAATTTCCCTTTAGCAAACAAATAATTTCTCAGCAGGCATAACCTAAAATGAGGGTCAGTTTGGAGAGGCATCATGGGAGCAGCATCAAGGCAAGTGTGAATTCCCCTGTTATTTCCTAGGGAAATAGTCCACAATTATCTCTGCCAGCCCCAACGCCACATTAACCTGTCAAAGGGAGGTGAGACTGGGAAACCGCGAGGTGTCCCTGATCGGAGAGCCTTGTCTGTCAAATGCCAGTTCTAAAGAGTGTGTTTCAGAAACTGCGCCGCACAGGGTTCTCACCTTGTCAAAAGCTGGGTAGACAGCGCGGATTTCCGTCAACCAGCCATATGGCATGTGGCCCACGGGGTATGTGGCTGTCAAAATTGCCACGGCCTGCAAGAGGAAGAGCCGGCAGAGTTAGCACGGGCATCCGCAGAGAGCACCTCCAGCCGCTGGTGCTGCTGGACACTTGGCAGAGCAGAGCAAACCCATGTCAGGTGTGGCCCCGCACTGACAGGTCACTCCACCCTGGGGGTCAGCATAGCCAGCTGCAGGCCAGCCCTGGAGCAGGAGGAAGGGGCAGGCACTCCCCTGCGTCTGGGGAAATGGGTCCTCAGCCCAGGGAGCGCACCTGAGACCAGGAGGATGTGTCCTGTTTTACATGAATCCAACAAGAAATGGGTCCTGATCACTGCTTGAGAAGCCAACATGTCAACCCAGGTCCACCAGACTCTTCCATCGAGCCAAACTGAACCCTCCAGTCGAGCCTATTCTTGAGTCTCAAAATGGGATTCTGAGCCCCACCCCTGCTTTCTGAATATTCTGCCCTCGGGGTCCACCTCTCCGCCTCCACATTGACCTTCAGGAAGGCTGATGGTCTGCGTCTATCTGTCGATGGCTTTATGGTACTCCTTTGCCTCAACTGCCTCACTTCCAATCTGTTCAGCCAGGAGAGCTCAATTTTGATGTTGAACTTAAGAAAACTCAATCGATACTTCTCACAGGAAGCCAAACAGACTCTTGGGTGAAACAGTTTCTTATGCGAATGAAAAGGAAGGAAAATGAAAGCAAAGCGTCTAATCCTACATTTCGGCCAAGTCCAACTCCCTGACTAGCTAGTAAAGCAGGAATACAGGCTTCGTCCTTTTTAAAGAACATCACAGCGACGCCAGGAACACGAGGGAGGTAAGCCCCCAGCTGGGTGCCCACACTGCTGTGAGGAGCACACGGTGGAGCTGGACACCCCTGGAATCAGGTGGAGCCGGAGCCAAACCTCCCTGCATCACTTCCCAGCTGTGCAAAGCATGAGCCCTCTCAGGCTCTCCTCTGTCCCGCCAGCAGAACTGCCCATCACGCAGGGCTGTCGGCAGTCAAGGAAACATGCAGAGATGCCAGCAGATCAGACACAGACGATGGATCTGTGTCTGTTCCGTCCCCGCCCCCCATGTCACATCTCTGTGCCACCGCGGTCCATCTTGAAGTGGCTCTAATGTATCACTCGCCTTGAGTTTTCAAGGGGAAGGGGCACACTTGCACACAGGTGATGGGAGCCACATGCTTTTTCCCGGGCAACTTAAAGTGAAGTATTTAGGCAAAAAAGCTGCTATGTTCCAGAAGCCACCCCAGATGACATTCATGATTCAAAAAGCAAAATCCAGGCACCAGCGGAGGCCAGAGAAGGTGTTCTGCTTGTGATTTATGTGCTTCTCCTTCCAAGCCAACATGCGCTGCCTCCGAGGACATGGAAACTGGCAGGAGCCCCCAGCCGGGAAACATGCTGACCAAGCATTCAAGGGCAACGTGTAAACAGGAGGCCCTAAGGAGCGGCCACCAGCCTTCCTAAGGGATCAGCGTTTCCAGAGCTGGAATTAATTCTCCAGAGGGCGGCGGCGGAGGAAGCAAATGAAGTAATTCTATTTGTTCATCCCATACTTGAAAGATGGAAAGAAATGATTTGACTCTTTCTTCGGTGGAGCTGCCAGTTTCCAGATCAATTTCTTGAGTGGTGAGTGAATAATGGAGACCCTCCTTGGGAGGGAGGAGGGCAGATGGCCAAGGGCACAGAAAGCCGTGGTGGGTGGGGTGGCACATGCAGGAGGTGGAGACAGGACAGGTGACAGCAGGCGGGTCAAAACAGAGGCATTGGCCCTTCACCCTCTGATAGTTTCACTCCCGCTGCTGCCCCCTGGCATGTTCCACTGTCCTCTGTGACCGCAGCGGAGAGGCATCGCGTGACTCCAAGTCAGTGGAGAGGCACTGGCAGGAGAAAGAAAATCTGGATTCTGACACTAGCCCAGCTTCTTGCAAGTTTTGTGTCCTTGCCTTGGTTTCCTCATGTGGTAAAAGAGGAGAATGAATGAGACGTTTTCTTCCATACTCACAAAAAAAATTAAACCACATGGTTTGAAGTCACTGATGCTGAGATCCTCACGGCTTCCTTGTGTGAATGTGTCATAGAATTTAACATCACAGAATTTCTTGGGCTTTCGAGATGAACTGGAAACAGATTTGTAATCCACCTCTCCCACTCCCCCCATTCTTTGCACAGTGATGACGGTTACCCACATCCCCAGGGGCTGCCCTACCTCTGTAGCTGCAGAACTGCCACCAAGGTCCCGGGACACGAAGAGGTTGACGATAGGTCTGCTGATTCTCTGTGTAGCCAAGATCAGAGCCAAAGGCCACCAGAAGCTCAGCATCTTCCTTATTGTCGCGTCTCCCTGCACCAAGAAAAGGGGACAAATGTTCACTGCTCTCTAGAAACAGGACAGATAAAACAATTCAGAGCTGGCATCTTTCTTTTTGATGTCTGCCGTGGCTCAACTCACCACACTTAAAAATAACAGAGGAAAAGCCTCTGTAGACAAACCAAGTTGAATTACAGTAAAACGTACAGTCTTATTAGAAATGAACTCAGACGGCTGGCAAGCTGCAGTGAAATCAAAACACACGTCTAAGCTTGATGGAGCCAGGCCACTATTTTCCAAGCAGGGCAGCTCTGACCCAGAGCCGGAGAGCCCAGAGCCGGAGAGCCCATAGCTAGCTGCAGTTGCGAGGACGTACCCCCAGCTCCGGTCCACTCCTGTCCGGGATGATGTCGTGGATGTTCTTGTAGTAGCCCAGGCACAGGGTGGTGCAGCGCACAAGGGCGCCCATGTACAAGGAGAGGATGGGGATGAGCAGGGGCTCCCTGCATTCCAGGTGACTGTGAAGCAAAATGGCTACAAAAACGACCTGGGAGACAGGAAACAAGGACAAGTCAGCGCGGGGAGAGCGGAACCATCAACAGATGCGACACGCAGCCTGACCTCTTGCAGCTGGAGGAGCTAGATCTCCGAGTGAAAACCTTGACACGGATGAGAAGGACAACAGACACTCGCGCTATGTCTCAATACTGCTCTCATAGAATCCAGGGTCGGACATTTAGGAGTCACTGGAAGAGCACACAGTCACTTTGCTATATTCACCACTAAGATTCTTTTAAGGCAACTGTTTATCCGGTTAAGGTTATCAGTGAAAATATCCAGAAACTTTGGCATCCAGACCCCAAAATATGCAGAAAAGCTTTGCCCCCTCGAGGTGCACATGTAATCTACACCTGAGAACCTGTTACCATCCACAAAGGACAAAACTGTGATCAATGACGGTACACAGAAAAATGGACATTAACATTTATAAAATGGAATTCACTAAGAATGCTGTAAAAAGCACCAAAGTGAATTATTATAAAACAATATAATTAAAGTGTAAGATATTAACTTATAAAAGTGGAATAGGTCAAAAAATACAAAGTCAAGAGGGACCGAAATAATAGCAGAGTATCTATCTCTATTGAACAGAGCAGCCTCTAAGGCAAATTTATCAATGTACGTCCCCTCCTGTCCTGCAGGAAGCCAGAGAGTCAGCCCAGCCTCTACCCAGAATCCTCCTGGGACTCACATACTTACAAGGCCACTGAGGTGTGCTGCGTGCAGAAGTAGAGTGATGGGGGTGGGGAGGTACTGTCTGCCTACATCAACCTTACATCAGCCGAATGTCCACGGGGTGACAGGCGTGTAAAACACACCACACTAAGTGATGCTGACTAGAGGAAGGGTATCCCCATCACTGAGTTATCAAGAAATCAGTGATGACAGAAAGTTAACAAAGAAGCTGGGGAATGAGCACCATTCCTCAAATGAGTGCATTCGATTGCTCGAGAAAACACAGAAAAGCAGGGCCATCCAGAGACACTCTCCTGAACGAAATAAAAGTATCGGATGTTAGAGGTGGTCTGCTTATAGTGTGAACCAACGTCTGTGCCTGGGCTGTTGTTCTCATACCAGTAAATGGGAGGGAACCTGTCAGAGGAGGGGAATGCAGAGGCCAGAGCGAGAGCGGGGCTGCACAGACATGACCAGGCTGCCTGGAGCCCAGAGGACATGAGTGGACACTCACAGTCACACTCACGACCACACACTCATGTTCAGGGCAGATACAGTGGAACCCACCGGTGGAAGCAGAGATGCCCGTGACTCTCCATGGCCGCTTCTTCCCAGTGAAACAAGTGTAACGCATGAGCTGAAGAAGGCAAAGACCAGCTGGGGGAAGACTTGTTAAGGACCCATTGTGTTTGGAACAGAAGGCTGAGAGTTGTGTGATGTGGCCAAGATGCCCATTTATTTCTCTAACTAATCAGAGGCCTCTAAGGTGCCCTAATACGGAAACTAGGATGTCCGCCGCAGACATGCTACAAACCTACAGCGTAAGCTAAGCTGATCGTGTTTAGAGACTGAAAACAAGCCGGAGGATAATGGAACACGTGAAGACCAACCCTTCCTCTGCCAAGTCCAGGAAGGCCCCCAGCCCATCAGGGCAGCCGTGCAAGACGAGCAGGACCAAGGAGGAGGATCTGGACTTGAAGGAAAAGGGAGAAGTCGGCGTGGAGATGACAAAGCACGCAGAGGAGCGGAGTAGGCTGGAGGGACGGAGGGCGGGCAGGACGCATTCGGCCAGTAGCGATCCAAGGTCAAGGCGAGGATTCTGTCAGCCTCCTCGTGTTGTTAACAGCTCGGTGCCATGTGGTCCAGCGCCTACCATACATTTTACATCTTCCCTGTGGGCTGTATCGTTCATCAACTTAAACGAACACCTGGGCTTTTCGCACTTCATTCCAGAATTAAGATTTATGAATCTGATATAACCATCAAAACCTTGTCGGGTTATTTTCTGAGGGGAACCTACTGTCTCGGTGGTGAGGATTTACCCAGTGCTGGCCCTGTATCGGGTGCAGGGAATTCAGTGACAGACAGGCTAGCCCCAGACTCTGTTCCCTTGGAGCTGACAGTCTACAGGGGAAGGCAGAAAAGTTCGCCTGTGACGCCAGCGAGCATCCACTGACAACCTGTGACCAGGTCCATGAAGGAAAGAGGGCAGTGGTGCTGGGGGAGCCAGGCTGCAGGGTGAGACCCCACCAGAGCAAGACCCGGAAGGGAGGACCAACGGCTGGCGTGCAGAGGACGGGCAGATGAGAGGGAGGAAGCAGAGACCATGGGTCTTTAGCTCCGTATAGGCCATGATCAGGATTCTGTTTTGTGTTTTTTTTTAATCCCCCAGACATCAGGAAGCAGTTTAAAAGCAGGTTTTAGGCAGGGGGTGAAGTGGCCAGAGTGTCACTGAGAATAGCTCACTGTGTCTGCAGTGGGAAAGGATGGAGGAGAGACAGGGCAGAGGGGCAGACTGGAGTCAGGAGGCACCTCGAAGGGTCCAGGTGGGAGGGATGTCCCTCAGACCAGGCAAGGGCAGCAGAGGTGGGAAGAGGGCAGACCAAGAAACATCTGGGATTAAAAATTTTTAAAAAAGACTTCAGAGGTAAGAGTCCATCCATAAAAAACTAACTTCAAAAAAAATTATTAAAAAAAATTGTCATGAAGAGGGATGCTCCTAAGGTGGTTCCCGGGTTTCCGACCAGAAGGTAGTGGCACCGATTCATTCAAAAGCACAGTCATCAAGATCATATCAATCCCGAATCAAGACTTAAAGTGTCTTTGAAGGGTCTGAGTGGGAGCATCACAGAGACACTTCGATCCCTTGTCCAGAGCTCAGAGGAGACGGCTCGGCTACAGGTAGTCATTTGGCGATCGTTGATCATGTTATGAAGGGTTTAATCACAGGGTGTAAGTTAGATTCTTCACAAACAGAACACCCAGCGAGGAGGGAGATGGGTCTTGAGGAACCTCAACATTTACACGGCAATAGCTGAGCAGACGTAGGAGTGAAAACAGGAGGCGGCGGTGTGAGAGCCAGTGGGGAGTGGGGAGGGGTATCTCATGGAGCAGGGAACAGCTGCAGAGATCTGTACGGGCAGAAGTATTTTTCAGGGATATGATTCTTCCCTCCACCCTTGGATGCTTACTAGACTTATCTTAGGCAAAGACAGGATTTTTTTTGCCTTGAAGATAACACATCCTCAAAGGCTCGTTGTGCTTCTGATGCTAGTGCTGAAAATGAGAGCTGTTTCCTTAATTTCAAATTAAGTGATTAGAGTGAACAAGGCAGTTCAGTTCATCTCTCAGAAGATGAGTTAAAAGTTTAAGACCAGGAAATAAAATCTCTAATAACTCACCAGAAAATTAACAAAGATGCACCAGAGAATGACGTTAGCAAGAATTCAGGCATGTGCACACACCACACACACACACACAGACACACACACAGTGTCAGCAGGAATTCATTTAAATTACTTTTAATAGTGGAGTAAATGCAATTAATTTGGAAATTTAATTTTTGGTCTTTAGGGAGATACTAACAGTTGAACAGCAGATTATTTCCAAAAGGTGGCTGGAAGGCTAGCATGTACAATAGGGAAAAACAGGAAGAAATGGGTGGATATGCTCAGAGACTGGAACGGAGAACTGGGAAGGGAGCTTAGAGATCAGTCCACCTCCTGCACTATAGAGAATCATTCCCCCAGATCCCTGACTGGAGGAACTAAGTCAACATAGACTACAGGGATTAAGTCTAATTTTCTGCTGAAATTTTTCATGCATTATCTCTGGTAGAATGAAAAAGGAAGGAGAATGGAAACCAGGGCTGGTGCCAACCCCAGGGAACTGGACAGAACAGAAAGATAACAGAGGTCTTCTCAGAAGAGCCAACTTCCTAGTTCTTTTTTCTCTTTTAACTGAAGTACAGTTGATTTACGGTGCTGTGTTAGTTTCTGGTGTACAGCATAGTGATTCAGTTATACACATGACTTGCTGGTCCTTTTTAAATGTAGGGGAATGACATGTGAGCAGCAGCCCCTGGTGGCAGAAGCATTTAAGAATAATTCCCGAGTGCTCTCTAGAACCTGAAACCACACGCGCACCCAGCCACGTGCACCATGACCCTTTGCCCACCCACGAGCTGCGACTTAACAGCCATTTGACATCCAAGCATCTTCATAATAAAGGTCAACACCTCTGATGCTAAATTTAAATTCCTACAACCCCCACTGTAGCAAGATCATCCATACTTGTATTATGGGAGGTTTCATTTTCTCATTCATGTAACAAGGATTTACCCAAGTCCACATTTAATCTGAGTAATGAGGAAATGCATTGCAGAGTAAATGGATGGAAATGAAGCATCAACTGGTTCCGGGGCTCAACTTAAAAGGGGCTCTGAGCAGCTTTGATGGACACACATTTACCTGAGGACCACATTTACCTGAGCTATGACGTCTGAGATTGAGGCACATCCCACCAGGAAACTGTATTTGTGTTTTAAGAGAATGCCAGCATGAGTCCATGCCTGCCAGAAAGAAAGAACCGGGCATGAGACACAACTTCAGGATTAGTTTATTTCTTTTTTTAAAATTGAAGTATAGTTGTTTTTACAACGTTGTGCTAATTTCTGGTGTACAGCATAGTCATTCAGGTATACATTTATATATATGTATATATATTCATTTTAGGTTATTACAAGGTATTGAATATAGCTCCCTGTGCTATACAGTAGGACCTTGTTGTTTGTCTATTTTATATATAGTAGTTTGTATCTGCTAATCCTAAACTCCTAATTTACCCTTTCCCCCCTTTTCCCCTTTGATAGCCATTCATTTGTTTTGTGTGTCTATGAGTCTGCTTCTGTTTTGTAAAATGAGTTCATTTGTGTCATTTTTAAGATTCTATATATAAGTGATATCATATGATATTTGTCTTTCTCTGTCTGACTTACTTTGCTTAGTATGATAATCTCTAGGTCCATTCATGTTGCTGCAAATGGCATTATTTCATTCTTTG